AATTTTCTCCATTGGAAACCATTGGATGGTCTGTCTAATGGTTTCCAATGGAAAAAACAAAAAATCATCATAAATTAACGAAATGTCAGAACAACACCAAAATCAGTTTGCATAGGTTTCAGGAGGTGGACTAACCATTGCAATCATTTAAAACAGCTTCCAAACATTGTAAGACACTTTTACAGGAGCGAAAAGGGAGGTCGGGAAGAACTTTAAAAGGCAAACGGAGATCAAAGAGCCCTCTCGCGCGCGACCCCCGGCTTGGCAAACAGCTGCGCAGCGCACTCGCGCGACGACCCCGCCTTCCGCCGACACGCAGCCAATGACGCTCACGCCTCTCCCAGGTACGGAGGAACCTCTTGCCGAGCTACCTGGGGTTGGGGGGGTGGGTGCGAGGGGGCGGCATCGCATCGAACACAATGGCTGCGCATGCGCCGCCTCAGCAGCCCCGCCCCAGGCAACTGCAGCCCCGCCTTCTCTCTCCCTCTCTCTCTCTCTCTCTCAACACGTGCAGGCAGCAAATTTAACAGAAAAAGGCATCGTTGTGTGAATTCATCGTTGTGTGAGGCACTCGTTGTGTGAGGCACCACTGTATATGTAACAACAGCAGCTGTGTAAAAACATACGGGCATTTTGGTGGCATTTGGCCTTGACAAACACATATTGTGAGACTCCTCTCCAGAACTCATTTTAATTACACACACTCAAAGAAATAAAACTATAAACCTTTTGAAGGATGGAACAATGAAGAGTACCTGAGCTATTTAGAAATTTAGAAAGGACTACTTCTGTTAAAGGAAAAATCCTAACAATCCAAGTGTGTGTGTGTGTGGGGGGGAATCAGCCGCAAAGTGTTCATCACGCCCACACAGCCTGCCAGTTCACCTCAGCTGCAGGGAGGTGAGAGTCTTTTTCCCTTCTGACCAATTCTAAGGGAAGGAAAAAAATATTTCAAAGAGCTGGCATAACATCCAGGATCATTTCATTGCCAGGTCACAAGAATAAAAGATCTGTGGATCCTGTGGCCACCTACCCTGATTCCCCCTCCCAGTGCCAGTGGGATAATCATGCCAATATAGCTTTGTACCATGAGGCACCTAAGGCTCTCTGGCAATAACTTGTCCTGCCTGTAGACTTCCCTCTGTGCCAGCTAAGCAGTACTTCCAAATCCACCACCATGCATGTATGGTATCAGATGAGATTACAAATACTCCCTTTTCCAAATGCTTCATACTTTTTAATTGTACTTTCGGGTGTTTTTAGATAGACAGCTCATAGCACTATCAACGAAAAGACATTGTGCAGCTTTCCTACATTTGTCTCTTTAACACATTTTTGTGTGGAAAGAAAAGAACATGGGAAAACATGGAACGATTAAAAGTAGAAGGTAACATTGTCTAGATGTCCTGTAAATGGGAGAGCAACCACATTCAGAGTCAGAACAATGCAGCAAAAAGAACAATATATCTGGTTGGATTTCAAAGAATCAGCTCAATAAAGCCACTAACAGGATGTTGGAAGGCTTTTGTTTAAGCACTATCCCAAGGGCAGAACATTTTGTTGGAATTATAGCAACAGTTTGTATGATGTCTTTAAGACAGAAGCTCCCAACCTTGGATCCCCAGATGTTCTTGGACTACAACTCCCAGAAATTCTGGCCAGCTCAGTTAGTGGTGAAGGTTTCTGGGAGTTTTAGTCCAAGAACATCTGGGGGGACACAAGGTTGGGAAACACTATTTTAAGAGATTTTGGCTGGGAGGGACCTTTCTAGACTGGAGTTACTGCCAACTGATTTAGCAGTAAACCAATTGTTCCCTGTCTGCCTCAGGTTTTGAAGACAGCCATGTCTCTCTACTAAAAAATCTTTTCTGCCTTTCCCCAATCAGACAGTTAGAATCATCATGTAGTCAGTTTCAGTCAGTCTTCTGTTACCTATGTAGTAGGTATGAAACCAGACAATCAGTTCAGTTCTGTTCAGGTAAGAAGTCGTATTTCTACAAAACACTGTTTGCCTTGATCTATTCAGAATTGTGAGTAAACAGATATTTTTATTCTTTCTCTTACCAATCTCTCTCTCTCTCTCTCTCTCTCTCTCTCTCTGTGTGTGTGTGTGTGCATACACACACTCCAGACTTTTTGGTAAAAAACACGCACATTCTCCAGATTTTTCTTTTTTTGTTTACATCTCTTGTCAACACTAGCTGGGATAAGCAATAATAAGGAATTATGGGAGCTGTTATCCAAACCATCTGAAAGGCCACAGTTGTCCACACCTACTTTAAACAACAGTTAAAACAAAGCAAAGTTCAACCAAATTATGACACAGCCACAGACTGTTTAAAATAGCAGCAAAACCTTTTGGTCACCTCAAGACCACACTGAAAATATAAAGGAGGAGTTCATCTGCCTTAGATCCTTCACATTATGCTAAATCACAGCTCAGCATCAAGCCAGAACAATACCCTGCTGCATCTTATAAAACAGTGAACATGCATGGTATGATGAAAGGTAACATGTTGGGTCATTCTATGACATGAATACTGTACTGGGGATCCAAATGGTTACGTACAAAAAAAAACTGATAAGAATTTTGGGACATATGTTGGATTTGGACAGAATCTATCCATGATTTTGATAGTATTCAATGTAGGGTCCAGGCAGTGCAGTCATTCATCTGATTTAAGATTGGGTCCTGCTTTTTAGAGGCCAACGCTGTAAAAAGAAAAAAGTTCTAAAATGTTATGATATAAACAAGCAGGATCTGGCATTGCTCATATTTACTATGCTGCAGGCATTCCTGCAGCCAACACGGATTTAGGATTTTTCAGTGGTGGTGATTTTGCACCCTCTGAGGCTTCAGCCATACCAAAGATTGCTGATCAAGAAACGAAACCTCGCCTGACTTCCTCTGGCTCCGGAATATTAAATCACAAAAATAATCTCAAAAGACATTTTTCACAGGATCAACACACACAGAAGTCAGGAAAATGGTGAACCAGAAGATAACTAGAGCTCCCCCCAAAAATGGGGGTGGTGGAAAGAGACCAGGGCAAAGTTAGGAGCTACCCGGGCCAGTAATAAAGATTATCCTCCTTTCCCAACGTAAGCGGACATGACTGCCTACGGAATGAAAACATACCAGAGACCGCAAAGTGAGAGACCGTGAGGTAACAAGCATTTTACCCGAGGTTAATATATCTCAGAACAGATACAAGGGAGCACAAGTGACATTACATATTTGACACCCCACGGATTTCAAGTGGGGAAGGGGACCCGGTTTAAATAACGAATGGGGCGTGGTTTTTATTTTTAATTTTAAAAGAAAAATCAGCCTTCGAGCAGGAGTGTGCTCCATATAACGCACTCGCCACCCTGGAGCCACTGCAACGCCTCAGCCCCGAAAAGCGGCAGCAAGGGCAAGGAGGAGCAGACCGCCCCCCAACTCACCCACGCGAGCGGCGATCCCCACCCACGCTTGGGGTCCCAAGCCGGCGAGGGCGCGTCCTCTCTTCGCTGCTGCAGCCGCAGCCCCGGCCTCGTCCCACACCGCCTCGCTCTGTCTGGCCTGACCGCCGGCGCGCGCACTCTCGCGCGCGACCCCCGGCTTGGCAAACAGCTGCGCAGCGCACTCGCGCGACGACCCCGCCTTCCGCCGACACGCAGCCAATGACGCTCACGCCTCTCCCAGGTACGGAGGAACCTCTCGCCGAGCTACCTGGGGTTGGGGGGGGGTGCGAGGGGGCGGCATCGCATCGAACACAATGGCTGCGCATGCGCCGCCTCAGCAGCCCCGCCCCAGGCAACTGCAGCCCCGCCTTCTCTCTCCCTCTCTCTCTGTCTCTCAACACGTGCAGGCGTCCAATAGGATTGGCGTTTAAGGGTGGAGGGTGGTTTCGCTTTTAAAATGGGGCTAAGAGGATTTGGGCTCGTTATCCGAGACGGAAGTAGAATGTTCTCTCTGTCTCTCTGTCACACACACACACACACACACACACACACACT